ACGGAAACATATGACTTCGTTTCTTTTCTGGAAAAATCAAAAAACTTCAGAAATAAGAATTTATGCATTTTAGCTTACAGTCTTTCCAAAAATCTCTGCAACTAATCATATGTGGAGACCGTGTATCCGTGGATGACACCACTGAGACAAAAACCGAACACTCGTACCTCTCGTAAGTGTTAGGAGCATATGATGCCTAAAGCCCTAGAAATAGTTCAGGAAAGTAAAAACCAGACATGCAGACAAAAAAAACCTATCAAAATATGTGACTTCCTCGTAAAGCATGTAAAGATCCAGGAATATAAGGGTGTTTTTGGCTTAAAATATCAAAACAAGTAATATGAATGAAGACTGGAAGGTTTCCGAAATAAAGCCCGAAAGAGCAGCTTACTCTTCACAAAGCGGTTGCTTTGGTACATAGGTGATTCCTTCTCAGTATTCAGTTTTCGCATGTAATACTTCGCCCACAACACACACATCCATAGAATGAACCTATAATACAGTACATGAACAAGCAGAACAGCTAGCGTACCCAAAACGCTTCAATTTTTACGAGTAAAATGCAAATATTTTGCTGCGTTTCAAAGAATATGGCACATGGACAAGCCCAGGCTACTAGTATTTTGTGAGAGAACTACCTATAGTTCGTAGTTACCGGCCCCAGAACGATCTCTGAGGATCTGGCCTGTCAACGCATAGGAGGTGTTCTCTCACAAAGCTGTACCTAAATACAGCTGACAGGATCAATGCAGTTTCATAAAAATTTGATAAAAAAGGAAATTTCGTCATAAAAGTTTCCGCAGTAAATCCCATCCTTCAACGGATGTCGATATTTTTTTAACCATAGGCTAGTTTTTTTTTTTTTCTTTTATTTTTATAATTCTGTTGTGTGATCATAAGAAAAATCCTACAGAAAGCTGGCTACATCACATCGGTATCGAAAGCTTCACAGTGTAAATGCAGTTGTTTTGATGACAAAGCTGCATTTACGATAACGGGGTATTGTTTGATAAATGCTTTTATTTGTTTTTTTCCAATCCTTTCTTATACATTTCCGATCCCCATTAATAATCTTTCGACCTTTTCTTTTCCATACCGTAACCCATTGTTCGGAGGGAACAAATATTTCCGGTGTCTGGGAATACATCTGGGTAGGACGGTAGATTCGGCGGGACAGTAGTTTGAACCGCGCTCCCTCTTCTCCTACTATATGAGGCCCCCTTTTCCTCAATTGAGATCTTCTTCGTCTGCTTCTTCATTTTCGTCAACTGGATCTACGGCACCGCCTCGACAGTCTTCGGGTTCCTTTTCGCCTTCGGATTGTGGCTCACTTGGACTTTATTCCATTCACATGCCATCTGCTGGCACTGGGCTCCAGAACAACTTACTGACTAAAAACGGGTCCCCCGGCAAACTCGATGTTTCTCAGATAAATCACTTCCTCGTTATTAATGCGTTAACTGCTGACTGCGTATAATGCCCCGTTACCCCTCTTTTCTCGTTTTTGTAGTTAAATGCAACTAAGCATCATAAAAAACTTCTTCAATACGTCAGCTTGTGTGCTCCTCTAGACCACGTCAAGATCAGAACCTCACTGGGCATGTCCCACATTTACTACAGCAGCAGTCTGTTCAATCTTATTCCATGCATATTTTTAAAATATTTTTTCA